TAGATAGATAGATAGATAGATAGATAGATAGATAGATAGATAGATAGATAGATTTTCTCCAGCACCATTAAAATTGAGCTCATGCAGATCAATATTGGAATAGCTGATTCTTAGTCAGGGAGCAGCTTTGCATTTCTAATGGTAATATAATAATAATGATGATAATGATAATAATGCAAGAAGATCGCACAGACTGACTACAAACAATGGCACGACAAAGTAGCCACAATGGCGCATTGGAGTATCTGGAAGAAATACCACTTGCCTGCAAGCAAGAACTGGTGGGACCCCAAAACAGACAGAGTAACAGAAAATGAAGAAGCTAAAGTGCTCTGGGACTTTAGGATTCGAACAGGCAAGCACCTGCCACACGACACCCCAGACTTAACCATGATTGATAAGAAAGACAGAAACGTCTGGAGAGTGGACATTGCAACGCCTGGAGAGAGCAGAAGAGAAGAGAAAGAACTGGAGGAAATCACAAGATACAAAGACCTGCAAATAGAAGTAGAACGACTGTGGCAAAAGAAAGCGAAGATAGTCCCAATAGTTGAAGGCGCCCTGGGTGCAATCCCAAAACATCTGGAGCAGCCCTTGAAGACCATTGGCCTTGACAAAATCACCCCCAGTCCATTGGAAAAGGCAGCTTGACTTGGAACAGCTCCCATCCTGCGACGAGACCTTTAACGCCATCGAACAAGCACATGTGTCTATCCCAGGTCCTTGGGAAGGACTCGAGAGGGGGACAAAAATGCCAAATCTGGTCTAAACATCTGGCTGACTGTGCAATCAATCATAATAATAGTTTTATATGCCGCCTGACTCCAGTGATTCTGGGCAGTTATATTGGAATATAAAGATCCATGTGGCAAGGAGGGAAGAAGCCGGTGGCCTGGGTCATCTTTGCGCTTTTCCACTGTTTAGCTGGTCTTTTAACAGCAGCTTTGAGAGGCAAAATTCAGCAGCCGATTTCTCCCCGGGGTGGGGAGGGTGGGAAGGGCTCTCATTTGCTAATTGATGCCAATCAAGCAATTGCTTCAGGCCAAAGAGCTGGATAAACTCTTGTTTTCTCCTCCACCGACACCCCCAGGCACTCTCTCCCTATTGCACCCAGTGGGGAGGGGGTCAAAAAAGGCAAGATGGTGTCTGCAACCATGCAATCAAAGACCCGCCCGCTTTTATCTGCGCCCCGCAGATGGCCCTGGTGGGACTTGGTGTCTCCAACGTCCAACAAAATCTCTCTTCTTCAAGGTGTTTGCCGGAACCTGAAATCAATTGTGGTCCAAGTTGGGATTGCTGATTACTTTAAGGAACCAAATAGTTCGGAGGCCAAGAAAATGTTTGATGAAATGATCAACAAACTCCAGGTAAGAGGATGCCTGTATTCTTCCAATTATGGCTTCTTGGTGGGAATGGTGGGTATATTCTGGACAGGCGTGGAGCCCTTGAGTGGCAGGGACTAGAAACCTGGATTAACCGGACGATGCAAGTCTGCCTGATGCACCTGATGGGGGTCTGTGGAAAATGGGTGAAAAGAGGCTGAGAAGAGAAGCCCTTGATTGCAGAGACCGATGTTGCACATCCAGCTGCTGCACTGAGACAGGGTTGCATTCACACAACAGGCTTAACCAGGTCAGTTAGTAGAATGGCACGTGGGAAAGACCTTGGGGGACAGGGAAGAGATGCTGCCAAGGGAACGGGCAGATAAGAGACAGACTATCCCACAGCTGGATAATGGGCGGAGAAAGAGGCTCAGAAGGGACCCTCCCTATCTTCCCAGGCTGTCAAGGAGACGACAAGAGAATTGTACTTTCAGACTTGCAAGATTCTGCCAATGCAGCTTTACGATAAAGTAGAATTAGCTCATCTGGTCGTGTTTCCTGTCTCATCTACCTGAGTGGCTGCCAGGCCGGGTCGTGGTGATGCCCTCCCAATGGCAGCCTCGCAAATAAACCTTTCCTCGCAGCCAAGGGTGTCTGTGGGGCAGGAAGGGTGTCAAACAGGCTGCAGGGCCATCTTCACTTTCTTGGCCCCTCTGTGGATGCCCTGAATGGCTCCAGGGACGTTAGAGCTGAGGCTGCTTAGCCCCATTCAAAGGCTGAAGACGTTCTGGGGCAGGGGACAGGCGAGGGCTACTAAACTCCCCATCGACTGATTGTGAATGGACAGTCCTGCCCTTAATTCTTCCTTCCTCTTCCTTTTCTCCAGGCTCTGAAAAAGAGGCCGGGCTTTTCAAAGATTTTACACATTAAGGTGGAAGCAGGCTGCTAACCTTGGCAAGGATACCCCGACCGCTGCTGACATCGTCTGCCTGCCTGTTTTGAAAGACTGTCTGGAATTCACACCAGCAGCCCACCAGCCTCAGTTCTCCCTTGGAAGGCAACCGGGCCAGCTTTTGCCTCCTCATTTCTGAGCAGGTCTTGAGGTCTGGAAGAGACGGGCTCCTTTTCAACGTGGGAGGATCAGAAGAGCGGCAGAGATGGTGATGGTGCTACGAAAACCCACCGAGGCATGGCTTGAGACTGCAAAGAAGACCCGTCCCCTTGTCTCCCATTTCCTTTGCTTGCTCTTCTCACGGAGGCAGCTGTGCAGCCGTCTGCTTACAACAGCTTCATCTTTTCACTGCAGAACAGTCTTCTTTCACCTAAACTTGTTTGCGGTGATTTTGTTCGGGAAGGTCAATCGCTCATGAGCCAAGGGCCGCACATAAAGGAGGCTCTTTGTAGTTCCTCGCCCGGCCCTCCTGCGTTGACGGAGCCGTCGTTTCCTGCTGCAAGACGGATGCAAAGCTCAGTCACTGCAGACCTCCGCGCTGTCGCTTGCTTTTTCCAACCGGTGTTTCTTCAGGATTTGCTTTTGTTTTTTTAAGGATGGGTGAGTTTCTACAGTGGGGAAGAGCACCAATCTAACATTGCCACTTTAGTTTTTGGAAAGGATGAATGAAGCAGCATTAAGCAGAATTTCTCCAGTACCAAACACCCAGGACAGCCAAAATACAGCTCTCTGCAGCGTGGAAGTGTCACAGAATGGCTTGATGGAACCACTGTTTTTGTATCTCCAAAGGGAATGTTCACCACCCATCTCACTTTTGAGCCAGGATTGTGTAATGCTAACCCTGCCCAGGGTTAAAGCGTTTTTCCAGCATTTGGGTGGCCTTGTGTTTTCTATCAGACTCTCATCTTTCCTGATAGACTGAAATAAATCTGTTCCTCTTCTGGATGGCATCTCCACCAAGGATGAAACCACTGAAATTTGAGGGGGTACAAAAAATAGTCTACTTGGATGAGGCATCCCATTGGCCTCTTCCAGTAAAGCTGGCTTTGTAAAGAGAGAGAGGAGATCCCCCAACTATTTTCTCAGTGTTTTAGAGCTCTGCAACTGTCCTCTGGACAAACCTTAGCTGGTGGCTAGATCTTCTGGTTTCTTGCCAACCTTTCGAAGATATCCAGCCCTTAGGGGTAAGGATTAGTTCCTCTCTGATTTCTTTACCGCATCGGTTTGATTTCTTGAAGAAAGCGCGTTTGAAACTCATGGGCTGGCTTGGTCTCACCAGGAGAAGCTTGCAAAAAACGCAACAGGCTGTCAGGGTGGTGGAGCTACTCCTGGAAGGTGTCAGCTTCTACTCGGAGATACCAGAACTTGCCTGAAGGAGCTGGTTGTGAAGTCTGGGTGGAAGCTTTTGCCCTAAATTTATCAATTTATTAAGAACCATCTATTTGGAAACACTTGAAGGCATCAAAACTGGCCTCAGGAAGAACCTGGAAGAGCTGTTTCTCAACCAAGCCCCAGAATTGTGGCTGAAAGTCCAGCTGTGCCAGGACATCTCAGTGCTTGAAGACAGAGGAGAACACCTCGTCTGTTGAATGTCTGCTTACTGGGCACAGAGCCTTGCCAAAAAGAAAGTTGGCCACCCGCTCCAAGCATTCCCTGAGGCACTCACAGCTTCCAAGGAACAAAGGGTGCCAAGTATGCCAACCATCTCTTTTTAAAAGCTAGGGTTGGCGTAGTCGGAGAGATGTTGGAAAACCTGCCTTCTGCACCCAGAAAACCTAGCCCTTCTGTGCTGAGAATAAATTATGCAAAGGAAAATGGGTCCTCAGTACCACGAGCTGATAGGAAGAGCAGAGTCAAGGCAACTCTTCCCGTAGGCTGCATCTTGTCTTTTGGGAGAGACTCAAAAGGTGCAGAAAGGATGCAGCGGTGCCCACACGTGCTCTGAGCCACATTTGGCCCTTTGAATCTGGATTGCTGCCCAGTCCAAGGTTCGAAAACTCTGAAGGTGAGATGCCCCATGCTAGGGGCATCCACAAAAAGGGTCGAAAAAGTCAAGATGGTGGCTGACCTGCACCATCAAAGCCTCCCCCTAGATGTTGCGCATAAAAAGAGCAGGGTTTGATGGTGCAGCTGCCATCTTGACCTTTTTGACCCCTTCTGAGGTCCACTTTTTGGAACGCCCTAAAATGGTATAGAAATCTCATTTTCACTAGTTGTCCTGTAAATAATCTCCCCATTCAGAAAAAAAGTGGTTCTTTCTTTACTCGTTCATTAAACCCCTACCTGGCTTCTATCGCGGTGACGCTGGGTAGTGTCCGAAATGATGTAAGGCATCATGATAGACGTGATCCTCCCAACAGAGCCTAAAGTTCAGGCTTCCTTGTAGCATAGACCTCAAGTTGCTTAACAGTCATTTCCTCTGCTCACAGGACCACGGGATACAGGGTTGGTTTGGACAAGGATCTCAGCCTCTTGACCAAACAAAATTCTCAGGAGTCTTTGCAAGGAAGCGATGACTGGCATAAAACTTAAGGTCCATTTGTAGGGAAAAGGAGAGGGCCAGGCCCACCATTTTCCAGTGTTTAAGAGGAAAATCAGCCAAGAAAGGGAGTCATTCTTCCTTTGACCCACCCACTGCAAATCAAGAGCTGGAGGTGCAGGTCAAGCTCTTTTGGGCCCCGAGGCAAACCTCAGGTAGGACTCCCCAGTCAGTCATCAGTTGAAGTGCTGGGGCTCTGTTGGAGGGAGCAGATCTGTCCCGGTGCCCAGGTCTGGCACGCGTGAGCCACGCTCAAGGAAGAAGGAGAGGAACAGCAGCCCAGGATGTTTTCTTGGGGATGGAGAAGGGCCAGCTGGTTGCATCAGTCCTACAGCTACCAGATCTGAGCTGCAAGACTTGAAACGCCCATGAGGGGGCAGCACAACACGAAAAAGTTCTGCCTCTCTTCGCTGCCCTCTAGCGGACCCAGTCAGTATGCATGGAGGCTGTCTGCCATTCACAGCCTGGTTCAGCACATCCCCCTGGGTTCCTCCACAAGGGCACGCCAGCCCTGCAGCAGATCGCAACCTGGACTGTTTTTTTTTTTAAAGGCCCAACAAAAGTCTGCTGTGAGTGCAGACTCCCAGGGGAGGCATTGTCTTGACTACACCCCCGGAAATCAGGAGATGGGATTTAAACAATTTAATTCTGAGAAACAGCCAGGGAACTGGCCACTTGAGAACGCAGGAGGAGGCCCTTTTGATTATTTTTTTAAAACGGGCAATTAGAAAACTCGTATGTCTGGAAAGAAAAAGAAAAAAGACGACTCTTCTGGGTGCGGTAGATGCAGATCTGGTGCCTCCAACTTGTAAAGCAAACGATGCAGTTCAGGGCCCGTCTCTCCCCATTGCTGAGCGTGTCAGAAGCGGGTCTGAAAGAGAGCGGATCTGGGTGCCACAGTGGGAGGATCTTTTGCACACCTTCAGAGCTTGCTTCTTCATTCATTTCTTGGTCCCCGCTGGACCCTGCTCACTCTCGATCAAACCAGCCTGTGAAACCTCGAGATCTCCTGTTTCAGAGTTCTTTCCCCCCCCAAAAAAAGTTAGAGTAAGTGCCAAGAATAGGTTAGCCTCAATGCAGCCTCATCGAAGACAGAAGCTTCCATGAGAGATTGCCAACTTTCTATTCCCAACTGCGTGATTTATTCAAACGGCGAGCAGGTTTTCTCTTGGGAAGACCGCTGGGAATGAGAATTGCAGGCTCAACCGCGACTTTGTTTTAAGAAACGCCCTTTCAGACCTGGCTCAAGTGAGGGGACTTTTAGTGAAAACCAGGTCCACATGCCTGAAGCCTAGCCACCTCTTGTCACAAAACCTGGTCCTAGAGCAAACCATGTTTCGTTGCTACCAGGTGGTTTTTAGGTTCTCCAGCCAGGGTAGCATAACCCATGAATTCGTCAAAGAACGTTTTGCAGATTTGTAGAGGAATAGTTGGCATTAACTCTAGAACAGTGTTTTTCAACCGTGGCCCCTTTAAGATGGGTGGATTTCAACTCCCAGAATTCCCCAGCCAGCATTGCTGGCTGGGGAATTCTGGGAGTTGAAGTCCACTCATTTTAAAGGGGCCACGGTTGAAAAGCATTGCTCCAGAGCCTTCATGAGTTACTTCTCATAATCCTAATGACTAGCTTTTAAAAGAGGCCAGTGTCTTTATCCCTGGAATGCAGGTTTGGGTGAAGCCAAGTGTAAATAGCTTGCTTACACCTTGTCTGCTAGAGCTAAGCCAGGATTCATATTTCCATACTGAAGGCACAATTTTTGAGTCACTGGGTTATGCTAGCAGAGAGGTGTATTTGTGTGGCTGAAACTTTCTATCAAGCCCATATTTGTCCAGTCTGGTGCCAAATAATAGGAACAATTGCCCCTTGGATTTTTCGGAGCAATATTGAGCCTTCCTCAATCGGCTGCCTTCCAAACATATTGGACTTCATCTCCCATAACCCCCAGGCTCCTCTTTGGCTACGCTGGCTGGAGGATTGTGGGAGTTGAAGTCCAGGTTGGGACCAGCTGGTATCATCTAGCTCTCTTTGCAGAACCATAGAAATTCCTCAGCTCCAAAGGCGACGTAGAACCTTAGAGCAGATCTCGGAGCGACTGAAATCCATTTTTCCTTAAACGAATCGCAGCCGTCAAACTCTTTAAAAGTAGTTGCAAGAAAGAGATATTTTTGTACCTTCTTCTGCAAGACTTGCACACGCTTCAACCTTGTTCTGTTGGGGAGCACAAAGGCCATGTTCTCCGAAGCTTCTGGAGAGATGCATACAAAGGAGGCCACTCAGCTCCAGAATACATTGCTCCTGCCGTTGTTCGAGATGCAGATCGTGCTGGAAAGAACTATCCAGAAGCAGGCCACCCTCCCGTTTGCAGGAAAGGCGGCCGCTTTGTCAAACTCTGTTCCCTACAGAAATGCAAGGTAGCGGTGACCTGAGCCATCTGTCCTGCAGGCTGCAAAGCTGAAG